CGGTTGCCAAGCTTATGCATTTTTGTAATGGTTTAGGCTTTCACTTGCAACTTGAATCTGTTCTTGCTACGGGTATGGCTCTGTGCTAGCTGTGTGCATGCGTTTTTTTTTTCTCTTTCTCTCTTTTTATTTATTTATACATGAATTATTATTTTTAATTTTTTAATTTATTTTTAAACTTACTTGCTTATTATTATTCTCCTTTCTTTTTCCCTTATTATTGTATAATAGTTTTAAAACAATTAGAATAAAATTTTCTATTAAGATGCACTGAATTCGACTGTAATTTTCTTTAGTTGAATTTCGTGTATAAACGGATAAAATAAAATAAATAATAAGTAAATAAATAAAGAGAGATTAAGAAAAAATGGTAAAATGTAACTTTATTGCGTCTGATTATCGCATAATCAAAAATGAAAACTAGCACTGAAAGGTAGTTCTTCGTCTCAGGCAGGAAAGCCAGGAAAAATGTTTTATAAATTTTTTTTCACTTTGGTAAAGCAAACTGTAGAATTCTTTGTCCACTTAGAGGGCAATTACGATTTTTTATTCACATTCGAACATTGAGGAATAACACATGACACTGCGGACTCTTTCCGCGTTTACATTTGAGTTTCGTCTAAGAAAAACGTATGAAGTCATGAAATCACAAGATAATATATTGGAATTGAGAACAATATTAATTTTGCTATAAGATAAAGTTATTAAGTCACGAGCACTGGCTGTTTTTTCTCACTTAATCCTCCAGTTAGTAGCTAGCTGAAGGAAATATTACATTGAAATTTAAGTCCCAGTGTAAGCGGACGTCGTGAAATAGATTTTCTGTTAAATTTATGTAACTTTTAGGTTAAATTTTGTTGAAAACGATCCACGTAAAATGTAAATAGACGGATCATTTAATTGTTTTCGATCATCGATAACTGCGTTAAAACGCTATCGCATTTCGCTGAAATACCATACCTGAAAAAATAAGGTAACGATGCTGTCTACAAGCAAATTAAGCCTTAAATGCATAGCGATGTAGATCTACAGGGCATGTTTAAAACCTTATATCACTTTATGTAGCGTAATTTGCAGTGTTCTTTTTTTAACCGTTAATTGCGTATTGTTGCTAATCTTTTTTTATTTTTAATTCTCTTACCTACCATTATAAGACGTGGGTATACCCATTTTGTTTTTTTCCATAATGCATATAACACCCAAAGCAAAGCTTCAGGGACTCTATAAAGGGTACATACTGTTAATCAGCGTGAAATTGTGAGTTGATTTACCATGTCGTTCTATCTGTGTAATGTGTGTTGTTGGCAGTTTCTTGGTCGCCGAAATGAGGATATTCACTTCAAGTTTAATAGAAGCATTGAAAGTTTCTACGCGCAGGTTAGTATTGAAAATGGGCCTAATTGGTCAGGCCGGAAGTGCGCAGTGCAGCGTAAACTGAACGCAACTCCGTTTTTTTTTTAAAAAACTCGATTTTTGCTCGTTCCTCGGATATTAAAAGTTAGAAGTATGAAATTTTACACTGTTACGAAAAACATCCGCCATGCCCACACTAAGTTACACGTGATTAAATTCTGTTTTTTTTATTTTTTTATGCTTATTTATTTATTATAAGGTAAACCAAGACCGAATGTTTACAACCACTCCTTAATGGGTTAATTTTAAAATAAGTGTGGTAGATACCGCATTTACTTTTTTTTTAATAAGACCAGCAATGTGGGTACCAAATCAAAGACCTTAGAGAGTAGAATGCGAAAAACGTAATGGTGAGTATGCGAGGTTCGGTCCCCGCTTTCTTACTTGTTTTTTTTTTCATTTTCGTATGTTAAAATTATTTTGAAACGTAATGTAAACAATTGGCAACATTACTCATCTAGCGAATTAAAAATATTTTTCCTAATATAGTTTGTGATGTACTGCGAAGTTTAATTATTATATCGTAAATAGATCAATTATTGTTAAATTGCTGGTTTTATGAAGATATTCCAATGGAGATGATAAACTTGAAAAAAAAAACAAATCCGAAAATTCTCTTTACTGAACTCAGACAGAAATGTATATTAACGAGAAATTTATGAACTCGCATGATGATAACAAAGTGCAACAAATTCATGACAACAACTTTAAACTGCTGATGCAGGCGGTACATTCATTCATTAGTAATCGAACATCAGAAAACTGAAAGAAAACTATTGAAATTAGTTAATTTATATGGCAATGGTGTCATTGAAATGGATAGAGGCGCTGACGAGATAATCGCTGAAAGTAATCGCGAAACCTATGCACAAAGCGAATACTGTAATTGTGATAAAGGTGTGATGACTGTGACTATGGCCTCTGAACATCCCGCGCTCCAGCCGCACGGGAATCGACTCTCGAACGGAAGATCTCTTTTTAGCTTCTCTCTTAAAGGTCGCCGTTGAAAATCTTGACAGATCTCAGTCGAAATGGGTAGATATCCATTTCCATGACTCTCACTACTCCGTACTACTACTTGCGGAAGGCAGAGTCACAGAGAACATTTGAGTAAAATGTAAATTGTTCTACCCTTAAACAAATCGATTGTAAATAAAAGAAACTTGATGTGAAAACGTGCAAATGTATTTCTCTTAAAAAGAATAGCCACTATCCGGTGATACGAATCGTATCCGAGAAAGGCGAAGTTCGTAACAATATTATTTATTGTACTTTTCACTTCTTTTTTCCAGTTTCTCTTTTGTAGGTCTATAATTAATCTACAATTTTTCCATTTAGTTAATATCTTTTTTTTTACGAATTTTCTGGGAACGTATCTATCGTGTAAAAAGAGAATTAGGTATACACAACTCTCAGTTTGCAAAGCAAAAGGACTTACTTTCTATACGCATTTCCGCTCTGCTAACAGAATTCCGCTTATCTTATTATTATCGTTATTGTGTTAATGTCAACCGCGAATTTCTTGGTTCCTTACACATTGAAATCATATAATTCCAGTGATGCTGTGCTCGATTTGCTAATGGAGAAGTTTGCCAACGAGTTCATCTGACGACGTTAAACTAACCCTCAGGGATTTTTTTCTTGGGGGAAGGATTAGGGCCCATGTCTACGCTGACAAGCCATAAATTTTGGGCGAGAAAGAAGAGGAAGAAAAAGTTTAACTAATAAGTCGTTACTCGTTACAACAAAAGCTAACGCTTGTTCTTGAGGTAAAATAAATTTAATTTGAAAAGATTTTGCAATTTTGTGAACACAAAATTTTTTTTTTTTTAGTAAAAGAATTATTTGTATAATTTTTTTCATAAATTGCTCTATAGAAACATTTTAAGTGCTAGCAATAAACAAACAAACCAAGTAAAAAAATTGTATTCGGCTATGGTCGAATCTTCTAAACTAACCGCGTTTGTCTCATACAAAAAAAAAAAAAAACAAAAAATTAAAGAAAATGAAACTTCGATACTTTACCATATTATCTAGGCTTGGCCGATTTCTTTCATTTTTGCAGGAGAAGGATTGCTCGTAAAATAAATCTAAGAATTTTAACCGCTATATCTGCCATATGTTCATACATTGCTGTGGGCATGCCCTATTTCAATACCAATCTGCATTACCAATGTTTTTAGCAAATTGGAAGCCGATATCTTAATATTTACGGCCGGGGGAATGCTTACCTTACGTTACTCACCTTACTCACTAAGTAGGCAGGCAGATAGGCGTGCAAATGAACCAACAAACGTGTTCAAATCTTCTTAGAATATGATGCTGATCAAGAATGTACATAATTTATAGGGTCGTTTCCTTGTGGATGCTGCAAACATATTTAGCAAAACGAATACGCCACTATCTCTCGTGGGTGAGGATAAAAAAAAGAAATACATAAAAATCTGTTTGCTTAAGCATATATAAAAGAATTTCAGCTTTCATGAGCATCTTATCCATGTACATGTAAGCCAGGGATTCCCAATTATGAAGGCTCGCCCTAAGTTTGCTTATGAAAAAATGAATATTTCTTTTCCAATGCGTTCTCCTTTCCTTAAGGGTTTATTTTGGGGATTTCAAAAATTCCAGTTTTACACCCGCCACCGACGGATGGAGTTATATTCACTTTGCCAAAATATCTACGATACCAAGAAGGGCTTTTCAGAGATCCTATAATACGAATGTATATCCTTGATTAGCGTCAAAATTGTAGTGGTTTTAAGCCAGTCCGTCCTTCCGCCCATCTGTATGCCTCTTTGTTTAATGATTAGGGTAACTATTAAAAAATCGAGGTCAACTTTGGCAGTAAGATTGAAAGCTCTTGTAAAGAGATTGATAATAAAAACTAACCAAATTGGTAACAGAACACATCGACAATGCGACATAAATTAAAAACACCTCTGCTTTCGGGATTTTTTGTTCATTACTTATAAACTACAACAGTCACATGATAATTCGACTGCAACAGGCAAGAATATTCTAAAAAAGTAATAACAATCAGCCACGCCCATTCAAAATACTATGAAAATTTAGCTGTTTCGCTTTATAAGTATTTAAACAAATTTTTGAAAAATGACACTACCATTCCATTTGAGAAGTTAAGCGTCGGCATATTGTTGATGCGAAGTTGAATTCAACCAAAAAAAAAATTTCTGAAAAGTTTACGAAAACTTGCCTGCTTACAATGAAAATGATCCGCATTAAGAATTTGCTTGCAACGGAGTAAAATTCTAGGAGAGATAATATTGGGAAATTCTTTCCACTCTTAGCATGTGGCAATTTTCTTCACTTCCTCGATGTAGGATTGACTAGAGGTGCAACGAATTTCTTTTTTCCTTCATCATAACTTATTTTACAACACTACACATGGTATAGACTTTAGCGAAAATTGCGTTTGTTCCGTACAACTCTGCCAAAAATTCAAATGTCAAATTTTTTCTTTTCATTCTTCCGTTCAGCCACAACATATACGTATAGAAAATACTTAATTTCTTTGATATTTAGTAAAGCGAATCTAAACGAGTTATTCTTAACGCCGCGAGGAAAATATGGCTTCGGATCACGAAAAATCGCCAGTGACGCCAGTCTCTAGTTTATGCCAGGAATCTAACATTAGTGATGATGCAGAAAAGCGGGAGGAGGCTAAAGACGAAAACGTTGAATCCTCTTTCACGGAAAGTGAAACGCTACAAAATGATCTCGAAATTTATAATAATAACTTAGGTCGTGAAAATGCTTGGTCTCTTTCTCTGATAGATACACTGTCCACTCTATTGGACAATCATCATAAAACAGTCAACAATTTTATATCGGCTGGGAATTGCTTAGAAGCTTCTTCCAAAATATACAGTATCCGCGTTGACTCCATATATTTAAGTGTTTTGCGCACTTTGGCGGCTTTAAATGCTCAAAAATTCCGCGAAAGGCTAGTGGACAACGTTGATGACGGAGGTGAAACAGTTACCGATCTTGCCGCTAGTGTTGCAGGTGTAGAATTAATTAGGGAAAATCCTAAAAAGGCGAAACGCAAACGTATACGCCCGACTACATGTACGGTAACCAAAAATAGGGAAACATTAAATGCTTGCCTAGATACAGCAGAACTACTACATCAAGATCCAGTGTTTGCCAAATTTAATTCTATTGCTTGCTTTGGCCAAGGACTCATGAACAATATATTATTAACAACGGAATCGGAATTACTATTGCATACTACGTTCATTGTTTGGGATAAGGCAGCTTTGCCCCCTCGCGATTACACAGAAGAGATTTCATTACAAACTTATAATGAAGACGAGCTCTCCCCATGCGATCACTTGTTTGAAATGCAGAACTTGGAAAATTTGAAATTACGACCATTACAAAGCGGTTACATTATCACCAATGCGCCAAAGCCAACAACCCAGGATATGGGACACGATTTAAATAGACTCTATAGAACAGATTCCGATAACGGTACATCATTTGCACCGCAACAAATAAGGGGAAGAGAAACTCAAACTGTAAATTCGCGATTTGGTAATGTCGATGGCACATGTATGGCGTTTGATATGAGTAGCGAATGTGAACCTATACCTATGAATGCAGAACCGATGCTTATTGCCAATGTGAATTGTTATGAATTAAACGGTTTGGCCCAAGAGGAGCTTAGTGCCATTAACAATTGTCGTAGTCTATCTACATCCGCTATTGTTATTGATGATCTGCATCCTGTTGATGCTAGTGATCTGGAATACTCATACAGACCTTTAAAAAAGATTTTGCACTTTTGGGCTGGACCTAGGTATTGGAAATTCAAGCGTTGTCCCAGCGAAGCAGTTGCGTGGCCTGTTTTAAATCCACGGGCCGCTTGTCCGCGACAAAATATGAAAAGAAAGAAAGCTAAGCAATTAACTTTCGATCAGTTGAATGAAGAGCTTTTCGTGCCATTGGATGAAAAGTATAAAAATCGTAAATTAAATTTAAAAAGAAGAGGGGATCATGAGAAATTAAAATTCCCCATGGACATGCAATTGACTAAGGATCGTTTTTCAAATTTCACCCTTGCTCCTGGCTTAGCTCTTTCAGGATATTCGACATATAAGTCTGCTTTACATAGCGACAATAATTCTAGAGAGAATTTCAGAGTTAATGGACTGGGTGAAGGAAAAGGCGGTCAATTCACTGACGATCACGAAGACCGTAATGGTATTGAAAATTTGCTTTGTAACAACTTTTCAGTTGTTCATGATGAAATGGAACTCGTTGAGAATAATTCACTAAATTCCACAATTCTCGAAATTCCCAACGATTTCGAAGGGGCCCCCGCACAAGTAACAAGAATTACAGTGCCCTTTGCTCGTCGAGCAAAAGTCATTGACATGGACAATCTTAAACGCATTTGTTGGGCTCTACTCAATAAAGAATTTAAAAAATCGATGCATGAAGCGGGCGAACCGCGGCAGCCAATCCTAAATGACGAACGCTATGAAGACGGTATGGCCAGCTTTAACGAGATTTATGCACAATTGCCACAATTATTACCAAGAGATATATCCAAAAATGTTTCTACTTCCATTGCCTTCAGTTCGATGCTACAGCTAGCTAATGAACACGATTTGCGTCTAGTACCCCAAGAGGATCTTACGGATTTCAAGATACGCAAATTGGCCGACTGATTTATGCCTATTCATTCCAAGTTTATTTTTTCGAAAGCATGTATGCTCAACAAGTCCCTTCTTCTTCTTTCTCATTTACTAGCTATTCGTAAGGCCACAGGGGTCTTTAGCAATCCTAGATTTTTTCGCAAGAAATAAGAAGTTTTTTGATTTGTTTTACAAGTTTTCCCGGATATTATGCTTTTACGAACCTATGGAAGAACTCGGACAATGTTAATTCTTTCCATTCGCAATTTTGTAAAAAAAATGTGCACATAAAAAGGCGGGAGCTGTGGAACTTCTTTTACTGAAGACGTCTTCGGAGAATGGCGCTGATGGTGGTATTTCTTAATTTTTTTGCAAATAAAATTGGTTTTTTTATTACTTAAAAATATCCTCAAGTCTTCTTGTTCCTCTTCTTCTTCTAGGGGTCAGCAAATCAACAACGGGTGATTTACATTTTCTTCTATTAAAATAGATTGTCCAAAAGACAATTTATTTTGGCCCTTACAGTGGTGTCAATCTTAAAAAATTTTATTTTTTCCTGCAGATATAGCAGCGTAAAGATTGGTAATCTCTGATTTACGTGATATATTGTGTACGGCTCGATTATATTACACAAAAAACAATGTTATGGTGAAGGAATTTAGCATAAATCAAAGATAACAAGTAAACATAATATAGTTGGACAAAGCGGACTATTAGATACCTTACATCAATTTGCTTAACACAGTTATTCACTCGTTTTGGTAATGATATACCAAAAGTTACAAATTATTTTAATGCAAAGGTGTAACTTTCGTGAAGACCAGCATATTAGAGGAATCTTTATTCAAATAGTAGAGCTACATAGTCTAAACTTGTTAAAGCTGATTTCTATGTCAGTTGACTGTTATGACCTAATTTTCATCAGACAATATACTTATAAAGTATAAAGCCTTTTCTATATAAAGATGTCGTAGGAACGGTTACGAGAGAATTGCCATAGCCAGGCCAAATTTTTGGTACCTGCTTAATATGTCCAAATACTATTCCAAAGCGTATTTTATTAAGAAAATTTAAAAATTGCATTTTTTTCTATATAAGAATATTTCAAAATAGAGCGTTATATAGGGAAGGTTTGAAAAAGTGGACCGATCCAAACCATTTTTAATAGCGTTTGTCCTTTGATTTCAGCACGTCAGTATACGAAATTTCATCATATTGCAGGAATTGCGACTTGTAGCTTGAATACAAATTTACGTGTTCAGACGGACGGACGGGTAGACAGGCGAAAGGATAAACAAGCTTAGAAAATGATCCTAAATTGATCAGTATAATAAAAGTTGGGTCCTTCTTAAGCCCTTCTGCGTGTTACATACGTTCGCACAAATTGAATAAGCCCTGCACCATAAGCGGTGTACGATATAAAAACTGACAACAGCTGCGACGTCGTTACTTTATATACATACCATATGTGCACGCATGTATGACTAAAGCGACGAAAGAGGGGGAGAGGGGAAGAGAGGGAGCGTTGTCTGGGTTACTACTGAAATATTGTGAAAGCTTTTCAAAAATGCCAAGTAACGTAATATAATTAATTTCTTTATTTGATTTCATAAACCAACATACGTTTTCCAAAATAGAAAACATAGGGATACAAGAAACCTTACAAAAAGAAAAAAAAAACAATAAATGTAAGAATACGATAAATGATGGCTATTATCCTTTAGTATTTATGTAAAAATATGCACGTGTATTAGCTATACATACGTTGCTTTGATGTATGGGTTCGTGACTTGTTTACTTTTGGAACGTTAACAAGTGCATAGAAATTAAAGGATAAAATATGTGTGAAGAATATCTCATTACAAACATACACACACACACACATACACACAGACAGAAAATTTGTCTATACAAGAAGATCGAGGCAGGGCAGAGCGCTTATTTGTATAGCGGACTAATTTCAAAAGCCAGCCACTATTGCCACCGACATGTCTCTGTAAGAGTTTACTGATGTGTTTACTTTATAACGTAGTGCAAAGAGGAAGAAAAAAAGAAACAAATGTTAACTAAAGAAAAACAGTCAAACGTTGCACTATCAGACCTTAACTTATACACACACGCACACATATCAAGTTATCCTCGCATATGGAAGCGTTCAATTTGGGTCCGTGAGGGCACATACGGAGGGATGCCGTCAAGTTAACGAAAATTGCACATATTTTTGTTTGGGCTTGTAAACGGAGGAAGAAAGAGAGACAGATAATGAGGAAAAGAGAAAAAGTTTCTATTTTATATAAATATTTGGGTGTGAAGGGATAAAAAAAAGGTTTGTGTTATTTAGAGGCTGCAATGCAGTGCTGGTCTCGAGCGTTAGTATAATAAACAAACAAGCTTACACAAATAAAGATAAGCTAAAATTTTGGAATCAGTCAAGGTCGAACATTAAATATCCCACACTTCCCCGTCTAACACAATTTTTCACTTATTTTCATCATAGCTTAATACAACTAAAAATTCGTTTTTGTTGCTACTTTTCATAAAAAAACCTTTCATGGGAACGGGTTCAAAAAGCAGACCGATTTAATTCAAATTTATATCAACATTCATTATAAGATACTGAAACTTGAATTTTGTTGCTATATAAAGTCCCACATTTCGCAAAAAAAAAAAAATTATCTAGCAAGAGGCTCACTACGCTCAACTGTGCTACTGTGCAGCTGTGCTTAGATCCATTTAATCCGTCAAAATGCGTCAATGGACAAAATTCCATCGAAATATATTGAAAATTGCTTAAAGAAAGATAGCAAACTGACGGATGAAAATGCTTTCGGAATTATTCTCTAAACGGATTTGTTTAATAAAAGAGGTGAACCTATCCTAGAAACTACTTTCTAAAGGTATTGGCATAATAAGAGACGGATTGATCTGACAAGTTACTCTCAATGTTGCAACCGTCCTTGACTAACTTAATATATCGTGAGCACAAGTTATGCAGGATATAATAAAAATAAACAAACGGGTGATAGAAATGAAAGCACTCAACACAACAACAGGCTTCTAATTTAATATGTGGGTCAAATTGTTTTTGTGCAATCCCTCCTCCCATCATGTTTTTTCCACTGCGCCACACGGTTCTGTCTATGGCTAAGACAATTGCAATGTGTATAGTTTTTAATGTTTGTGACTCTACAATCTTTTTTAATGGCCTTTGTTCATATTATTCGTTTGTTGTTACATTCTGGTTGTTGTTAATCGTGGTCAAAGCAAGAAACGAAACAACGGTGAATAGGATAAAAGTTAAGTCTTTTCTGTTATAGTGTCGCTTATCTTGGAAGTTTTGTTAGAAAATGTCATCAAAAAAGTGGAAACCATATTTAGATGAAAATGAATAACGACAATAACAACTAAATGGAAGTATTACTACAGATTGTATGAATTTCTTTTTATAAATATGAAGTCAGAAACAACAACGACTGTGCAGTGTTGAGAATTCTAATAAATATGTTACTTGTGTATTAAGATTAATTGAGGTTTCTTTTTCCATATCAGACATGCTTTTTCTATTCCATCAAGTGATTGTATTGGATTTATGAAATGTATAAAAAAATCATTGAAGATTACATGTAGTTTGCATGCACTATTTCTCCGAAGTAAATTTTGCAAGAACATATAAAGTAAATTTATAAAATGAATAGGCAATGATTTATCGCAACAAAAGTTTTACCAAAGTCAGTGCACATCCCTTAAAAGATATAACAAGAAAGATAAGACGATTATGTTCACTGTTAATGACGATCTGCTGCAATCGATAAATAAACAAGTAAAAACGATATGGTAGGCCACAGCCTGTCATTAAATATTCTACTTCGCCTAGTACAGTTACTCGCATTACTACTTTTCAAAGTAAATTGTTATACGGAAATCGGTTGAAAAAGTGGTCCGATCTAGACCATTTTCCAATAGTGTATCTTACCGATCCAACCCATTTTCAACACCAAGTAGTTGGGTCAAAACACATCGCTGTACCAAATTTTATCAAATAATCGGAAAAACTACGAACCTAGATTGAGCACAAATTTACGTGGACTTGCGGAAAGAAAGGCTTAGAATCAAACAAAATCATTTTCTAAATCTAGCGGTATAATGAAAGTTGCGTCTATCTTACGCGCTTCAGTGTGTTACATACGTCCGCACAAACTTAACTTACATACCCTAAGCCACAATCGTGTTTCACCTTTCGCACGATAAGCACTCGATGTGATATTCGGCCGTACCCGTAGATCCAAATCTTATATCCCGTAATAAAGCATTTCATGCCCGATTGATAATCAGAAATCGTTCTTTTACAGATGTAGTATAAATCGGAAATACTTGTTGTGTCATATAAACACCGCAGCGCAGCCGAAATACCGGTGGCGTTTTTAATATGAAATTTGACACAGATGCCGCCATAGTGTTGCCAATTTAAAAAAAAAAATATTTCATATTTTCGACATGCTCGCACAATTTAATTTTAAATTGGTAAATAGAAAGGCTCCACTTAAGTAGTGAAACTGGAAAATAATTTCGACACATACCTTGTATTAGGAGTGAATTAAAAATTCCATTAATCTTCAAAATTCAAATTTCAAAATAAACACAAGAATAAATGATATTAATTTTTGCTTTCAAAGGCTGACAGCCTTTTCGAATTTCAATTGCAGTCGGCCGAGCAAAAAGAGAAACAAAGAGTGCAACGCTTAAAACGATTTGGGATTTCGTTTCAAACGTAAAACTAATCTTTTTTTTTCCTAATATTGATATCTAATGAGAATTTCCACAAGTTACGAAAGCTAGCACGAAATTAACACATTTTCGTACTCCACGGCCAATACACACGGACTCCCACACACACACAAACAGGCAAAAAACGAAAATAACATCACGCCATACACGTATTCGTATAAGTGAGAAAAGAAAAAAACCGAATCGAATTCATAAATTTATAAATGTTTGTACGTTTGCATGTCAGTTTGTCAAATGAAATTTTCATT